TGTGACCAAAACCATGCCCCAACACCACATACACAATTACTGAAAGATTTTAATTACTTCTAATGGTGCTTCAAGGGTGTTTCAAATAATTAAGAATTTTAAAATTTAAATTTTAAATTGGAGATATCAATTTTAGTTATTGAGATGAATATAAAAGAAGAACAAAGAGACTTAATTTTGTTGTTATATAATCTATATATCTAATGATAAAGAAAAAATTGCATCCGATGGCAGAGAAAAAGGACTTTGATTACATTATTAATTAGCGCTTTTAATACTCTCTAGAGAATATCAATATCATTTGAGCGTCTTTGTTCTTTGTATGCTTACAATGGAAATAAGGAAATGGAAGCTTTTAATGCGGAGAGTATTTTTTAAACACGCTTTCTTAAAGGTTAAATTGCTTTTGCATTCATTATTTTGCTAGTTAGTCTTTGTATGATGTAGAAAATCTTGCTTAAGATTAGTGCCCACCAAAAAAGAAGGGATATTGCATTTAGTTATTAACCCATGAAAATCTCTAATCGTGATCCAAACTTCAAGTTAATTACTTAATGTAATGAATTTTGAATCTTGTTTTAGGTAATTAAACTCATTTTTTTTTAATCTTGATCCCATAATAAGAGGCAATCATCTCTTATTTCCTATTTCATCTTACTCGCATGTCATGTGACTCAAATTCAAAATTTTTTATTTTCAGCGGAAAAAGATAACTATTAAATTATTTAAGTCGTTAATAGATAATTAAACTCACTAAATGATGAAATTCCTTATAAATTAGTAATGATGACATTCATTAATACAGTTGAGAAAAAAAATATAAGAGACTTTAGATTCAAACAATATATTCCTTGCTGAGAGGGTTTTGGATGAGATTATGAAGTAATTAAAGAACACATTGAAGTAATGAATCATATGTGAGAAATGTCAAAGTCAAATACCCACCTCATAAATGGTTGAATTTAAGTATATACCCTTCCCCCCTTAATTGTCTAATCTAACCAAAACATTTCCTGCCTATTTAATGGGATTAGGACGTAGGTACAAACTTCTTCTTTAACTAATTTGAACTCAAAGCCTATTTTAACGTTGGGGCAATTATTAACCCCTTAAAGAATCAAAGAAAAAATAAAGAAATTTTGAGTTAGCTATTTGTCTAAATTACCCAAATTAGAAGTAGTAAGGCAATGTCATTTAAGGAGTAAAAGGTAATATTATATCACTCTACTTATTTATCAATAATTTGTTAATTTAAATGAAATGAGTTTAACTGTTTTTAAATAAGATATTAAGTTCAAGTTTTATAAATTAAGAGACAATCATTAGAAGGGTTTTCCTTTATCTGGTCTTATTAAATTCGACTTCAAATTAATTGAAACTTAATGTAATTTTTAGATAAAAAGTTTAGTATAAACAAATACACTTACTTATTTAATCTCATATCATCATTACAAAGTTATAATGTTACGTAACATTATAATTATATTATTATAAACAAAAAAAATATTTCGTACAGGTTTTTTGGACAGTTTAAAAAGATTATATGTATTAGATTTAATTAATTTAGCGTTACATAATCAATTGTTTATGGGAATGCTTGAATTTACTAATGAAAAGGGACATGATAAAAAGGGATGGCTAAGCAGCTTACCTACTTAAATAATGTCTGCAGGTGGAAACTGTGGCCAATTCTCAACTCCACGTGATCTAAACTGGAACCCACAAAGCCTTCGCTTTCTCCCTCAAAATTAATCTTGTAATGAGTTGCGCAATCATGAGACGGGATGCTCGTGGAAACTAGAATCAGTGTGCCCGTGCCCCGTGACTTCTTCCATCTCATATTATCACCGACAATTTATGCCTTTTGAAATTTTTTATTAACCTATAAATGATTAGGGGTATTACACTTCAGCATTCGATGTTAGTAACATTAGTCACATTGAAAAAATGTACTTTTTTTTTTTCTTCGATTTAGGCTCGATTTGGTTTTTTATTAACATATTCAAAAAAATAATAATAAATAAATTACTAGGAGTATTACTCTTTGCAATGTTCAAGTTATATTAATCTAATTTTTTTATACTAGTTATTTATAGTTTATAAAAAGTGTAAATTCTATTCTAAAATTATCATATTAAAGTAAATTTTCACATTAAAAAATATAAATATAATTTTTCATCTTAAATTTTTATCTTTAAAAAATTGATTAAAATTTAACGATTATCATTAATTTTTTATTAAATTTCAAAAGTAACCATTTAATGTAGTTTAACGAAAATTATTGAATTTATGTCAATTTCTTAAAATTAAAAATTTTAAATGATAAATTATATTAATATTTTTTTAAAGTGATAATTTACTTCACTCCAACAATTTTAAGCACAATTTACTCATATAACTTTTGTAATTTTATTAACTCCTTTGATATCAACGTTCTTTTCTTTTTTAAAAAATAAATAATAAGTTTAAAGAACTTACTTCTCTTTTAACAAAACTGAAAAAGTTTAAATAACTTACTCAACACTTGAATTTAATTAAAAAAAAAATTAAAGGTTGAAAATAATATCATGGATGGAATACAAAAGGCTAAGAAATTGAGGTGGGGAGAGGAATATCCCTCTCCTACAACTGTGGATGGGTGAGATGAATGAAGTATAGGAAGACAATGAAATCCAAATGGGATTTCTCTATTATTAGAGCAACCCATTCGATCCGAATATATTGTCTACTTCAATTTTGTTAATTTAACCAAACTCCGTATCTGTTCTAATTTTGGCATCATATTTTTCACCCCTATTGTTTGCCTATTGTTCTTGATTGCAATCATGATGCATGGCTATTTTCCAACGAAAAATTATTATTTTTATTATCATTATATAATTTTTTTTCAAATATGTTTAGTTTAATTGATTAGATTAGTGTTTATTAGTTGAATTTATAAAAAAATTAAGTAAAAAATATTTTAAAATCATGTTATTTTAATAAAATATTATAAGAAATAATTCAAATATTTTAATTTTTTAAAATAAAATTTTAAAATATTTTTTATCTTATTTTTTATAATACAAATTAATACTTTTTTTTAATTGATACATGTGAGGTTATTGTTATACTCTAAATATTTAATATCATATTTTTTTAACGTAATTGTCTATTATCCCCTCACATTACATTTTTTCTCAAAAATTCTATATTTTTTTGTTTTTTAATAAATTAAAAAATATAATAATTAATTAAAATAAAAAAATATGATATTAATAATTAAAATAGAAATATGACATTACATGTGGCCTTTTGAGTCTTGTCCCCTATTCAAATTTTATTTTACAACCAAATTCACACCCCAGTGAGTGAGTTTCTGTTCATTTGGTGTAAAAGAACTTGGGCCAGATCTGAAGTGCAGCCTAGAAAGACACTGTTTCGGCCCGCCCAACAGCCAACACAAACACACACCATGAGCCCATGATTCATCTGAATTCCCAATTCTGGACAACGATGAGATATTATTATTATTATTGGGCTTTTAACTCCAACTCGGCCTTTGTTACAGAAAACATGTTAAAAAGATAGAGAAACGATTTTGGTTTTCCGTACAAATGGAGCTTTGCGTCTTCGCAGTCCCACCCTTATTTTGATTCCAAACCACTCCTCTCTTACCCTCTCTTCTGCAAACTCTCCACAAAGTCACGAAACGAAACACGACGCCTTCTCCTTCCTCCCGACAACCAACCTCCGACGATCTTCATGGTACCACAAACCGATTTCGCTGGAATCTGATCAAAACCCTCTCAACAGTTTCCCCCCCACACAAATCCTCCATTTCTCCCTTCCCTCCCTCTGCAAAATTCAGAGAATTCGAATTGCTTCACTGTCTCTTAGTACAATTGTTTTCCTTATTTCAGGTACTACAAGTTTTTTTTCCCCCAAAATCTGGCTTGTTTTACACTTGAATTTCTGCAATTTTGTCTCTACATATCTGCTTTGATTTCTGCTAATTTGTCTCCGTATTCGTTTAGGTACTTTTTGCATGCAATTATTTAATCAGAAATATATGTTTTCTTTACTGAGGGGCTGAGGGATTTGTTTAACAGTGTTTTATGGGAGATTAGAGGTGAAGTGATAAATTGGTGTTGGGGGGGTGGTGGAGTTAAGTGTATGGTGGAGATTAAGTGGATCTGAGTATTATGGATGTGACAATGGATTCGGGTGCCACCACGAGCAATGTGTTTTTAGGGCCTAGGCAGGATATGGAGTTTGAATCACATGAAGATGCATACTCATTTTACAAAGAATATGCCAAGTCTGTTGGGTTTGGTACTGCTAAATTGAGCAGTCGTCGGTCTAGGGCATCCAAGGAATTTATTGATGCAAAGTTTTCTTGCATACGGTATGGAAACAAGCAACAATCTGATGATGCCATTAATCCACGGCCTTCTCCGAAAATTGGTTGCAAAGCAAGTTTGCATGTGAAGAGAAGGCAACATGGGAAATGGTATGTGCATAGTTTCGTAAAGGAGCATAATCATGAGTTATTGCCAGACCAGGCACATTTTTTTCGGAGCCACAGGAATGCTGATCCACTTAAGAATGATGCTCGAGTGAGAAGGCGGAAGAACCTTACTGCAGTTTCTAAACAATTCAGTGCTTATCAAAATGTTGAAGGTTTGGAAGGTTTTCTGAGAAGTCAGCATGATAAGGGGCGGAGTTTGGTTTTGGAAATGGGAGATGCTCAAATACTGCTTGAACTTTTCATGCTTATGCAGGAAGAGAACCCAAAATTCTTCTATGCAGTTGATTTGAATGAAGAGCATCGATTGAGAAATGTGTTTTGGGTTGATGCCAAAGGCATGGAAGATTTTAATAGTTTTGGTGATGTGGTGTTTTTTGACACTTCATATTTCACAAACAAGTATAAGATACCATTGGTTCTTTTTATTGGAGTCAACCATCATATTCAACCCACACTGCTTGGTTGTGGGTTAATTGCAGATGAAACAGTTTATACTTTTGTTTGGCTTATGCAAACATGGTTTATGGCGATGGGAGAGCGATCTCCAAGAGTGATACTCACAGATCAAAACAATGCCATAAAAGCAGCTGTGGCAAATGTCTTTCCTGGCACACGTCATTGCTTCGGTTTGTGGTGTGTAATGGAAAAAATCCCCAGGCATCTTGAGTATCTGAATGTCTGGCCTGCTACCTTCATGGAGAAATTTGAAAAATGTATTTGCAGGTCATGGACTGAGGAACAGTTTGAGAAAAGGTGGTGGAAATTGGTTGATGAGTTTCATCTTAGAGAGATACAATGGGTTCAGTCTTTATATGAAGATCGCAAATACTGGGTACCTACATTCATGAGAGATGTATCATTTGCTGGGTTGTCTACAGTTTCACGGTCAGAGAGTTTGAATGCTTCATTTGATAAATATGTGAACCAGGAAACATCATTGAGGGAGTTTGTGGAAAAATACAAGGTAATTCTTGAGGACAGGTATGAAGAGGAAGCCAAAGCCAATTTTGATGCATGGCATGAAACTCCCGAGTTGAAGTCTCCGTCACCTTTTGAAAAACAAATATCACTTATCTACACCCATGAAATCTTCAAGAAATTTCAAGTCGAGGTTTTGGGAGCAGCAGCTTGTCATCTTAAGAAAGAAAATGAAGACGAAGCAACAACAACGTATAGTGTGAAGGACTTTGAAGACAATCAGAATTATATGGTGGAATGGAATGAATTAAAGTCAGATATATACTGTTCATGCTGTAGCTTTGAATATAAAGGTTATCTGTGCAGGCATGCTATTGTTGTGTTTCAGATGTCTGGGGTCTTTAGCATCCCGTCTAAATATATATTGAAAAGGTGGACCAATGCTGCTACCAGCAAGCATCCAATCAGTGAGAGATTGGATGACTTGCAATCTAAGGTGCGCCGTTATAATGATTTGTGTAGACGTGCCATAATACTGGGTGAAGAAGGTTCACTTTCTCAGGAGAGTTATAATGTTGCACTATCTGCCATAAAAGACGCTCTAAAACAATGTGCCAATGTGCATAGTTTCTCGGAGAATGGTGCCAGACCCAATACTTCATTGATGAGTGCAATTTGTGGTGCTGAGGAGCAGAACCAATGCAGTCCAAGAATGACTCGTTTAAACAATGCTCCCCCAAGAGCTGAGACTAGTGGAAAGAGGGAAGCTCAAGGAAGTAGTGCAAGCAGAAAAGGAAAGGTTAGTAAATGGTACCCTTTTTTTTTCCCAATTAGTAGTAGCCTGTCACGGTTGGGATGCAGATAAATTTGTTATTGAAATGTTTTCACTTATTAATGGAAGGAAAAATGGGGTAAAAAATTAGTTACAATTTGCTTCGTGTTAACAGCAGGTACCTCAGACTGGAGCTGTAAATGTAAATGTTGGGACTCAAGAGGGCTTTCACCAAATGGTTAGTCATATTCACATATCAATCATATTTTTATTATGGTTCTGATCAATAGTTCTACTACCATATTTAATATAGCTCTTGCTGACTGATACTTTGCTGAGAAACCTATTTGCTGTACAGTTTGTTTGACCATTTCCCCCCTTTTTTACCTTGTAGCAGGAGCTATCAGATATGAGACCACAGCCTATACATAATGTTGTACCATCACAGTTTCATAATATGATGCCAACCATGTTTAACAATGTAACATCAACCCATTTTCATACCGTAGCTGCTACACATTTGCATGAGAATCCACTCCAGCGGTAGCTCAAACTTTACTGTCTTAATCATTTGGGTTGAGGGAATTCAATCCTGTGAACTTATCAGAGGAGAGGTATGGCTGTCTATTAAACTTCAACTTTGCCAGAATTCAATTTTTACCTCCATTTTGTAAAGATGGCGTAGAAAAACTATTCTAGTCCTGTAGGAAAGAGCAGTTACACTTTACAGCTTTGCCAGTGCTTAACTCTAGCAGGAAGCTATTCCCTGTCACATGTATCATGTTCTTGTATGTTAGCTTGTGAAATCATCGTCTGTAGTCGCATTTCGCTCTTGGTCTTTCCTTGCACACATATTAACAGTTGTTTTTCTTGACATATCTAAAGAATTGAATCCCGAAATTCAAAATTGTCAATTTTATGTTGTTGAGGTGTCCTCTGAACTCCGGAGTCTAAAATACTTGGTTTGATTATAAATTTACAATGTAATTGACTGGCCAGGTATTATAAGATCATTCACCCATTTTTTAAAGATATCTCTCTACTACAGGGGAAACACAAATTCAAGAAATGTTATGCGGTCTCGTGATCTGATCGACAAAACTTGATATTGAAGTTTTTATTTTATTTTATTTTATTTTAAATTGCACGAAAGTATATTACTATCTTTTATTTTTTAACTCTTCCCGTTCATATGTCATGCAACTTGAATATAAAATCTCATTATTTTCATAGGAAAAAGAGTATAGTCCATATGACTGCTGGGTCGTTAGGTTGACATTTAAGTTATTTTTGGTTTGCTACAAGACAACAAAGGGAAATTTGAATATTATTCCATACTCTACCCTAAATTCTGTTCATAATTTTCTCAATTGGGCTTTAAAAAACTTTTATCTATTATGCCGTCAAAAGTATTTTAATCAATAATTGTCTAATTGATGGGGAGATAAGTGAGGAAGTTGCTAGAAATGAGAGGGAATTGCAGAAAAACAGGGGAGGAATCTCGTTCTTGAAGAATATATGGC